TTTCGTCCCATTGCTTCATTGATTGTTCGGGAGGCACTAACTGAGGCTGAGCACAACAGCGCGTAGCAGCCCCGAATCAGTCGGCACACAGCATTTGTGCACCTTCAAGTTGTTTCGGGAAGATAAGAGTGTTAACACGGAATCAGCACCGGATTCCAGTGTAGTTGTGTGGATCTGCAGTTCCTAGCCAGACTGCAGTTTTCAGGCGGCAGGTTTGGTGCGTTCTCTTGGTGTTCGGGTTTGAAACGTGTAGTAGCATCCTGTCCCTCGTTCTGCCTCCAGAAGGCGGAGGTACCAAAACCTCGTATGACACAAGGTGGAGGTACTGACATATACCGAGCTCAGCCAGAGGAGGTTGACCAGTAGAGCTGGCGATACCAGTCGTCAAGGGGCGGGAAGGGAAACCCGGAATATCTAGATGCAACAGATGAGCATATCTGTGGGTACGTGTGGGGCAAACGCCTCTTCCTTGTGCGTCGATTGTTTATGTTTCCAGGGGCTTCTAAGCACGTGTGCCCTTGATGTCCGTTGGACATCCACAGGCCTCAAGAAGAATAGTAAGAAAGAAGAAGAAGAAGGAAGAAGAAGAGGAGGAGGAGGAAGAAGAAGAAGAAGAAGAAGAAGACGACGACGACGACGACGACCACAAAGAAGAAGAAGAAGAAGAAGAAGAAGAAGCAGAAGAAGAAGACGACGAAGAAGAAGAAGAAGAGGAATAATAATAAGAAGACGACGACGAAGAAGAAGAAGGAAGAAGAAGAAGAAGCAGAAGAAGAAGAATAAGGAAGAAGAAGAATAAGAAGCAGAGAATAATAGTAATAATAATAATAATAATAAAATCAATAATACCAATAATAATAATAATAATGATAATAATCAATAATAATAATAATAATAATAATTAATAATAATTAACAATAATTAATAATAATAATAATAATAATAATAATAATAATAATAATAATAATAATAATAACAATAATAATAATAATGATAATAACAATAATAATAATAATAATGATAATAATTAATAATAATAATAACAATAATTAACAATAATTAATAATAATAATAATAATAATAATAATAATAATCATAATAACAATAATTAATAATAATAATAATAATAATAATAATAATAATAATAATAATAATAATAATAATAACAATAATTAACAATAATTAATAATAATAATAATAATAATAATAATAATAATAATAATAATAATAATAACAATAACAATAATAATAATAATGATAATAATAATAATAATGATTAATAATAATAATAATAATAATAATAATAATAATAATAACAATAATTAACAATAATTAATAATAATAATAATAATAATAATAATAATAATAATAATAATAATAATAATAATAATAATAATAACAATAACAATAATAATAATAATAATAATAATAATAATAATAATAATAATAATAACAATAATAACAATAATAATAATAAACACAACAATAATTAATAATAATAACAATAATTAACAATAATAATAATATCAATAATAACAATAATAATAATAAAAATAATAATAATAATAATAATAATAATAATAATAATAATAATAATAATAATAATAATAATAATAATAATAATAATAATAATAATAATGATAATATCAATAATAACAATAATAATAATAATAACAATAATTAATAACAATAATAATATCAATAATACCAATAATAGTAATATTAACAATAATTAATAATAATAATAATATCAATAATAACAATAATAATAATAATAATAATAATAATAATAATAATAATAATAATAATAATAATAATAACAGTGCTTTGCTTGGCATCGTGTCTGGTTGGGTTTGACAATGTTTTTTTTGGGCCCTACCTATTGCACGTGCCAGCCGGGATCTCCTCAGCTCGGCACCCCGGTGGCTCGCAGCCTGAGCCGGGGTGCCCGGATCCGGTGGCTTGAAGCCGGTCGGAACGAATTGGATTGGGGGATGAATTGGTTTGAGAGTAATCAACATGACGGTTTTGACACAAAATGAGCTAGCGCTTTCAGCGTAAAGTGAGGATCTCAAGGTGACTGGTGAATGGAATGGGCGGCAAACTTTGGAGACCTGGCGCTTAACGTGATTGAGCCACCGTCCTTTTGCCTTTTTGAAAGCTGTTCGAGAGCGCTTGTAGTGTCGATTCATGCCGGGCCCTAGATGATGGTGCTCATTCTACAGGAAACCAGCCGCTACAGCCGGCTGACCCGATCGTGCCACCAAAATTGTTTTCGCCATATGCATTGCCAGCCATTTCCTGATTTTGTATACTTGATCTATATACTCCCGTTGGAAAGAACGTGATGTTGTTTGTCCTTTCCGACCATGCCCCAAATGTGTGGCCCTTGTGTATGTCATGAATATGTTGGTCCTGTAGTTTTGATGGGTGTAAGGTTGGGGCTTGCCGTCTACGAGGCATGCGCCTGTTTCCCTTTGTTTTCCCAGGATGATCCCATGCGGTGGCTTGAAGCTGTTCTGGCGCTTCGCTTGAGGCCTCTTGAGCAGGTTCTTCCTCTGTTGCGGTTCTTTTTCCGACTACAACAATCGAGCGAATCCACGGGATTCTTCCTGTCAGAAAGCCTGGCATTCCAAGCTGCAGATCCAAACGAGGCTCTTGCTTGCTCCATTTGGAGACCCATTTCGAGTGGATGCTCTTTTCCCTGTGTCGACTCTATGAGGCCCCGTGAGCCAAAGCGTCCGTTCCATCAATCAAGGCAGGGCGTCGCTTGGAGCCAGGGACGGATGCGCTCAAAATTGGATGTGGACCCTTCTTGGGTGGGTTTGCGGGAGGGAACCGACTGGAAACAAGCTTTCAAATTTCCGTAGCTGGCTTCTTGAGCTGCCCATCTCAGCGCGCGTAAAGGCGCCCTTGAGGCCTGGCTGGAGCCAGGCCGAGCGGCAAGTCCGCCTTCCCCGGGCGTTGCCGTTCTGTTCACCGGTTCACTGTGCAGTATGCCCCTGACAAAGTTCCAGGTCTCAGCATATGTGTGGTGAAAGGGGCTTTGGGTCACTAGGGGGCGGTCATATTGCAATTGAGTCTAGTAGTTTTATTTGGTATTCCCTTTTGGGAACCATGACCATGACAATTTTCCCTGGGGAACCATGTTACACTGTGGGTCACATTTGCAGGTGGCATGACGACGGTGCAGAGCATAGCCACGGCCATCCGCCCGAATGTCAGCTGCCCAATGGTTGAGTAAAGGTTCCGGGCGGTGGCCAGCATTGGGAATCAGACCCCCAAGCTCAGGATAAGCTGCGGGGCATCGAGGGCCGTCCATGAAGTTCGAAAGCCAGTGAAACTTGAGGTCGAGTTGTGCAAAGAACCAAGCTGGCCCGGGCATTGACATGAAGAAGAAGCGGAAATATGTTTGATTCTTGGGGTCGGCCTTAGGATCCCGTGAAGCTGTTTGTGTGTCTTTTTCAGTCTTTTCGAGAAAACAACGGCTGGTGCCATCGCGTTGTAGGGAGGTAAACTCAGCTTTGGACACATTGGTCCTGGTTTTGCTGCGTTGTGCTGTGCAGTGATTGCGCTTGCCTGGTTTCATCACATTTCCACCAAGGTGCGAGGGTCACCGACCATGGCAATGCCCTGCCGGGCCATCTGAGAGCGGCCTTTTATGCACGTGCATAAAAGTGTGCTGGGAACTGTGGCTGAAGCGCATGACAGGATTCAGAGTTCGCATAGCTGAGGTCAGCAGTTGCTTCCGGCATTTGGGACCGGCTGCATTCCCGAGCGCTGTGCGCACAAAGATGTAATTCTCAAAGCCACAAGGATCAGAGCGGATTCTTGCAGGGCTCCAGATCATCTAGATCACCGTTGGCACTTCAGTAAACCTTTTCGGCGCGGACCTTAGACACCCTCGTTTTTGATGTGGGGATGGGTGCAACGGGCGAGCAAAATACAAGGTTAGGCAAGCAACACAGAGAAATGCATGCAAGACAACGCGGCTGGACTTCCGCACATTTAAGCACGACTGTGAACGCTCCTGTATTGTTGTTTGCCTGTACTTTCCGGAAATCGCCGAGGATGTCGACTGGAGAGGTCGCGTTTACCACAAACCATGAGCAAGTTGTTGCCTCCCATGCATCAGATGGAAAGACAAATATGTGGACATTTCTGGGTCAAGGCGGTCCACAAAGAAGTCCAGAGCACTTGAGCACTTGAGCAACTTGAGCAACTTGAGCAACTTGAGCAACTTGAGCAACTTGAGCAACTTGAGCTTGAATCCTCAAAGTGGTTGGCTGGCGAAGGGCTCCGCCCGTTTCACTGAATTAAGAGGCTGGGCCGTGCCATTCTGTCAAGGTGTCCGGAGCAATTTGAGATCAGCGCGTATGCGGTGCTCCGAGTAATTCATCGCAGCTGGAAGGGGAGGACACCAAGCCGCGAGCGGAGAACTGCGGTGCCTCTCCCTTTCTGTTCGGGAGATCGATGTACCGTATGCTGACACGTTGACACGTGAGAAAACGAAGCCGATTCGATGCTGCTTTGCGGATCCTTGAGGCCTTTTGGGATGCCTCTAACTGGTCACTCAACAGACTCCAAGCACCATGCAGACCAGGACATACCATGGCAAGAGTTGCTGCAGTATCACTTGGAATTAACAGGTGGGCTTTCAGATGCACTCGAAACGCACACAAAAGCTGCGGTAGTGGGGCCTTGGGAAGCAGTGGAAGGGAAGGCTGGAAGAATGTTTAAGATGCTGGGAACTTCCCATGTCGGGCTCCAAAACCATCATCTTAGCATCGTGAGCAGTCATGGCAGGGGCCCTTTGTCTCGAGCCGGCGGTACCAAGGCGAGATGAGTCCATACAGTTTGCGGCTTGGGTCACTTCCCACGTATGCATGAACTTGCACGAAAGTTGCTAGGATCTACAACCAGCTGCTTTGGGCTGAGACAGACGAACGGCCTCAACAGCATACTGGCTGGGAACAGAAACGCTACTAGCCAAAGGCAAAGGCAAAGGCAAGCTGCATGTGTTGTGCGTCCGAGCCATGGGAGGAGTGTTGGCGGGACCCTCAGTGCCTCAGGGCTGACCTCGAGTTAGCTGCAAGGCAATCATTCACGTCTGGTTTCCGGATCCATGTAGATGCATCTTGCCTTGAATTTCTGACTTCTCGGAACGATGCGGAGCTTGACGCAGGGTTCCATTTGAGACAACCCCAAGGTAGACTCCCCTTTGGGCCCCTGGGCTTATGAGCCTTCGGGGTATTTCAATAAGAGCTTCGGAAGAGTCTCTAAGTGACCCACATGAACCGATGCTCCGACCCTGTGACAGGACAAGCCCATCACCAAGAAATGCTCCGAGAGCGGCCTGGACTGTGGCCCCCTACGCCGCTCGCTCGGAGTGCATTTCACAGTTGCCACCCGCTGGAACTCCTTCTCCAACGGCTATGTGTCAGAACTCCAGAAACCGGTCCAAATCGCTAGTTTCTTGGTGGTTCTTGCCACACATTTGCGCACTTGCAATGTAGCACTTGGTCACAAGAGAGGTGCATGTAAACAAGTGAGAAGCCTCACATGTCACAATAGCCTTTCCCTCTTTTGGGAGGCTTCATGCGTTATGTGGAATCTGAAAATGGGCAAACTCTGATATTTGGAGGTTTGGCTGGAAGAGCGCTGAGAAATTCCGGCCTAGGCCTATCATGGGCAGCCTCCGCCATGCAGGGATGGCGGGTGGGCATGGAAGATGCACACATCGCCCTGCAGGAAGCCCAAGCGAGAGCTCGAATCTGCCACAACATCGAGCCTCTCAGTTCACAGCGTTCCTTTTGAATTCCGTTCGATTTCGTTCCCGGAAGGGTCCCACTTGCTACAGACATCTGCAATTTGCCCTTCCAGCGTTGAGCAAGGAGCAAGGTTGTTCACTCCTCTTTTCTCCCAACACTGCCAGGCCTGATCTTCTGATCCTTTTCACCCTTTTCCCGAGAGTTTGTCTCCAGAGTTTGAGACGAGCTGTGCTCGCGCACTCTGTGTGTGTGTGTGTGTCTGCAGTGACGTGAAATCGGCTTGCTCCCCAAGGCCTGCGCTGCGTCGCCCGGCGCCGTGGGCGTCCACGGCGCTCTTCGGCGTGCTGGATGGCCATGGGGGCGCGCAGGTCGGAGGGTTTGGCATGCAGGTTTGCCGTAAGGGTTTCGGTGGAAATGCCAAGCCGAAACACGCAGTGGGAACTTGGAAACAACGTTGATGGAGCAAAAAGGGTCTTGTTCGACAGACCCGTTGAGGCTCAAGTCTTCCTAGTATCTTGCCTTACTCGTCGATGGCTTTCCTTTGCGACGGCTTGCTGACAGATGGTCGGTCGAAGGAAGTCTTGTTGCAGCCGGTTGCATGCTTGGCTTCTTGGGCATGGCGGGAAAGGTCATATTCCAGATTCGCAGAGTGCTGTAGCTTGTTTCGTATCGACACATTAGGCGCATCGTAAAGGTGTTGTCATGCAATTCTTCGCTGTTACTGGAACATCTGGCCCTACAGGCAAATCTATCGACTCAGCCCTGCTTCCTTACACTGAACTGAACTCGGTTTGACTGCCAGGTGGCCAGATTCAGCAGCGACCACTTGCCGCAGGAGCCGGCCAGCCTTAGATTCAGGCCTTTCGAGCATGTCGTACTTGTTCGTGCCATCCACACTTTGCACTTGGAGTGGGCCTTGTCTTTGGCAGAAAGTGGCCCCTTGATTTGTCCTTGTTATGAAAGGATTCCACGGAAAACGATGACGGATGACGACGGTCGATTGAAGCTTGAACAAATCATTGCCGCAGGATCAAACGAAACGTGGAGGCTGCAAAGACGTCGGACATCGGGAGACACGAGACGCGCTTCATGGGCCGCGTGGTCGCGTTCGAGTCGAGAGGAGCTGCGGAAGTTCCCAGTGGAGAGCCCCGCGGCCATGGAGCAGGCGCTCAGAGGCCGCGTGGCGGGGGGGGGGCTGGGGGGGGGGGTGGGTTCAAGCGCCGGAGAATGTAGAACCAGGGAAGGTGTCAGGATCGCCAGAATTTGGGGCGGTTGGTTGCAGGATTATGCATCCGAGCGTATATTTCGGCTAGACTTATTTTCGGAAGATCAGGCATTACATGTGACTCCCCATGTCACGTGCTTGAGAAGGGAAAGAGCATTAGCTTGATGCTTGCTGGTGATGTTCTCGCGCGGTTATGACACATGCAGCCATTTGCTACTCTGCACACAGTTTGTGTGGGTGCTGTCGCCATTTCATTCTTGCCAACTCAAATGCCTGCCCGAACCCACAACTTCGCTCATATGGGGGCCTTGTTTCAAAGAATCCCAAGTGGCCTGACTATGCATGGCTATGCATGGCTCAGGAACTTTCCACAAGATCGATGACTTGTTGAGGAGTGGCACCTTGGCTATCCGCAGTCCCAGAAATAGGCGATTTCCGAGGTCTCTCCTTGCAGGAAACAAACTGAACTGGAGGGAGGGTCACGGGCAAGGCTTAAGAAAGGGACTGTTGCCCTTCGCTTCGGCAGCGGCCAAACTAAATGAGTACTCAAATTGTTCCTTTCCATTCCAGCGATTTCGTCAGCCCTAGGTTTCAAGCATGACCACACAAGCATCAAAAGGGTCCGCTATGGATTGACCCCATCACAAGAACCCTCCCCACGCTCTGCTATGATTCTGCTGTGGTTTGACAAAGGTGACTTCGCTGCGGAGGTGTGCTCCCTTGCGCAGCCTCAAACGCGAGAACGAGCAGCTTGGCAGGAGTTGCCAGGAACTGGATGGCTTTTTCAAGAAGCCGCTTGTTTGATGCCAGTCCCAGTAGATCATCAAGAACTCTCTGGCACTTGTCAATGAATTTCCTGCTTGGTGGCAGCATAAAGAGAAGGTATGCCGACCTGTTGCTGGCCAGGCAATGTCGAGCTTCCGCCTCGAATGAGATGAATCTTCTCAAAGCATCACAATGTCTGTGTTTCGTCTCAGAGCCTGGCCTGGCCACATTCTTGCCACACGGATTCCCTAAGTACTGCAAGTGCGGGAATCAACAGTAGCTCGTCCTGATTGAGAGCTTTGATTTCTCGGGCCCCCACAAACATGCTGCATTCATATCATTGACAATACTTGCCAATCACGGCTCCACGCTTTCACATCATTTCGTTCGAGAGCGCCTTGAGCTTTGAATCCCCGGGTTTGTCCACAGCCTTGTGGCCTCCAAATTCCCAATTAGTTTCCTGAAATTGGGGACCACCCCTTTTCCATTGCTGATTTCACTGCGTATCCCTTGAGACCCATCCGAAAGGGGGCTCCCGGCTGCATCTCTGGGCAAGCCGAGGTGATGCCATCACCGCGCAACGGGGATGCACACATGGTGGGCTGCACCGCCTGCGTGTGCTGTGTCACCGAGCGGCAGATCGTGACAGCCAACGCTGGAGACAGGCCCCAGCTGAGCATCTAGCTGGTGTTAGCGGAGAGAGAGGGGTGGGGAGCCATATGCGGCGACATACAACTTGATTGCCACTTCAGACCACCTGCTTCCTGAGAGTTGCCATGCAGAAAAGGAATGTCCACCACAGAATATTGTGCGCGTGATGTTTCTTGGCCCGCCTTAGCTGCCCGCAGATTCAGAGGATTTTCATCAAGAGGCGAATGCGGGCACTCGCATGCTTAGTCTACCTATAGAACGAGCCGAGAAGCTGGCTAGTGTGAATCAAAGTTTAACCTGCAAGCAAGCACTAGTCATTGCTTGACTTCCAAACCGATTTGAGCAGACCTTTGTGCGGGCAACTCCTGCAGATCTACCGTGTTTTCCTAGCTCCTTGCGCAGTCGTGCGGTGCTTTGCAGCGCTGGGCAAGCGATCCCTTTGAGTGAGGAGCGGGCAGAGTGCAGAGTGGCAGGGTCGACAACTCCGGTATGTAAGTCTCGAAATCAGGGCCACTTCGGAGTGGTTTGTTCCGCCTGGCTGACCTTGTCATACCACCAACAAAAGGCCTAACTGTTTTGAGACCCATTAAGAATACCCTTTCTTGTGTGCAGGACAAAACTATCAGGAACTGGCCATTCTATTCTTCCTGGCCTCAATTCCTTGGGCCCCCAATTCCTGTCCCACTGGGTAAAGACACCCCCAAATTTTCCCCAAATAGCCAAATGCTAGTTGACCAGTTTTTGTGGGGATGTGTGGGGCGGTTCCGAGGAACGCTCCGGACACGCTGGCGGTTCTGAATAGGGTTCGCGGGATGCAGGGCGTGGTTTCAAGGAAGGTTCCGAATTTCCAGCAGGGTTGTGGGGATGCGTGCGCTGGCTCCAGGGGCGCAAGTAGGTCCTTCGAGGGGCGGTTCCGACTTCTGGGGATGCATGCTGTTGCTTCTCGTCAGCCGTCCAGATCGTTCGCGTTACAGGCAAGCGCTCGCAATGAACACGCAGTCACGAGCACCCACGCAGGACCATGGTAACGTTCGTGTTGCAGGTGAAGCGCTCGCAATGACACGCAGATTTACAGGCGCACGCTGGGGGGCTATACAAGCACCAGCTGCAGAGCGCGCGTGGGCGGGCTCGTGGCTGCCACTTTTCAGGGCGAATCGTGTTAAACACACGAGCTTCCAGAGGGCATGCAACCATGTTTTTTTGTGTGTGTGTGTGATGAAAACGGTTGGTGGCGGGTTTCATGCTATGTTCGCTTCAAACAGAGGCCCGAGCCCATGTTGCGAGGACCACAAGCCCAACGCGCCCACGGAGAAGCAGCGCATCGAGGCGGCCGGCGGCCGGGTAGAGTGCTGCGGGCCCGAGTCTCGGAGCATCGAAAGGAGCCTCTTTTGTGACGGAAAATAAGAGAAGGCCGAGAAGGCGCAGGGAGGAACTCAAATCCATTTTTAGAGGTCCCAGCTTCTCGGACAAAGTCGTAAAGTCGTTGTTTAGCGCGCTCTATCAGTCTTCAAGAGAGATGAACATTCGGACCGATGGCTTCGGGATGCTTTCCCATGGAAAATGGGCCAAGGCCGGGGCAATACCGGGTCAATGGCAACCTGAATCTGTCCCGCGCCCTCGGTGACCTTGAGTACAAGAAGGCAACGGGGGAAGCTCCGTGACTGGCCAAAGGGGGGGCCATGGCCTGTGAAGGGAAGCCAATAGGACATGTGGTTTAAGTATGTTTAAACTGGCTGGAATTGCCCTGTGAAATGACTGTGCTCCATCTATCCGGATTTATGGAAAGACAACTTTGCAGTCTTTGGAAGCAGTGTGTGTGCTCTGACTGTACATGCACGCACTTTTCCATCAGCCGGACGAGAGGACCGGTCTCTACCTCCAGAGAAGCAAATTATTTGCTCCACGCCAGACGTGACCTTCAGAGTCGGGTTCCCCAGTTCGAAGGTTTTTTCCTTCGGGTATGGCCAGCCTCCGTTCTTAGCCTCCAATGGAAGCCAAGAGCTGACCATGGTCTAGCCATTTGGACAGTTGGCTGGAAGGGGGGATGGGCAATAGCCGTGCAGAGAACTTCCAGAGCCGCATATCCGCATAGCCGCACCTCGCGGGCGCGACTGAGGAGCGCGATCCTGACAAGGACGAGTCACTCCGCCACGCTTAGCTGCTACAAGCGGAGGCGACGCTTGCCGGCTTCTCAGAGTCCATGTAGAAGGGCCGGCATGGGCGCCGGCCCTTTCAGGTGCATGAGTTGAATCTATTGGACGCTCAAGCAAGATCTGTTCGCGCTCGCGCCTGGCGTGCGCGACGGGTTCCCTCCACGAGCTTTGCTTGCGAGACGTGGCGATGCGACGCAGCAGGTTTCTTATCATTTGCTGCGACGGTGTTTGGGACGTGAAGAGCAACCAGCAGGCACGAGCGATGATTTGTCAACTTCGGTGTGTTTCTTTTGTCGAGCGAGTTGCAGTGCGCAATCCAGGAAGGCTCTCGCACACGCTAACACAAATCACACACACACACCCATTGCATGCAGGGTTTTGCCGCAATCTAATCTGGAAGGAAGATCGACTTGAATGCAGTTCTCGCAAGCGGACAGCTTGGCTGGGCAGGTTGTTGACTTCATCCGCGCCCGCCTAGCTGCAGGCTGTGATGAGCGAGCTGGGCCCTGGGAGTTGCCGCGTTAATATTTCAAGTAAACTGAACACAAAGTATTTGGTCACAGGGTTTTCTACCTGAAACATTTTGGGATTCACCATATCTTGAGCCCCCCTTGTTCTTGCCGTCCCCAAAGCAAAATAACCACTCCGGCATTTGCAGTGAAATTGCCCCTATCATTTTCCAGGTCATTGTACATGACGGGAACCCAGGATTCAAGGAAAACCTCTCAATCTGCCAGGTCTGCTCATGGGTCGACTTTGACACTAACGCCGTGGTGTGTAAATTCGATGCGACGTGTTGGAAGCCACAGACAGAGAAGACATGACATACGCGCTCGCCATCTGAGGCTATGGAGCTCGCCCTGGAGGAGCTGCTAGACGCCTGCGCCGGGTCCTGGGTGAGGTTTGGATCCCGCAGGGCGGGTGTTTGCGGTTTTGTGTGCGGTTCTTGCGTGTTCTTGAGGCTTTTCGGAATTCGAGGGATTCAAGTGTCTTTTTCAACTTGGTTAGATGAGTTTGGAAGGGAAGCCGAGTTTACGTTTTTGAGCTTATTTCCAGAAACATCCAGTGGCTCTTGCGTGTGGTGGTCATGCTCTTGCAACGCGGCACCACCAAGACCGGAAATAGTAATTGTCTACATGGTGACTTTCCGAACAGTTTGGGCATTTTATGGGTAGTGGGTGGCGGGTGGCGCTGCGACCACAGGTTCTGTATGGCAATGACGTTGAACACTATAGGCGGCGCCTCCAGAAGGTAAGGCATGTCTGACAAAGCATGCTGAATTGATCTTGGCCCAGGACGCACATGGCCAAAGCAAGCCTCTGACAATTCTGTGGACGGCGAAGGGTATTCCCCCTCCCCACTCGAACACCGAAATCCCCAAAAGTCCGATCTTTTTGGTGCCATGTACCCAGCCCTTGAGTACCTTGTGACTGGCTCTAGAGACCATGAGACAGACCCGACTTGCCCCTTGCTGCTTTTCCTGAACAGCCATCCATCATCAAGCAAGCGTTGTTCAGCTGGTTTGCAGTTTTTTTCTTTGCCAGATATCTATTCTTCACAAGCAGAAAGCCAAACTTTGTCCAGGTTTCATCTGCACGCCTGGTGAGGTTTCGCACGATTTGCGGGAGACCAACGGCCTGGGCGGGGACAACATGACAGCGGTCTTGGCAGCTCCGGCATCGAGTTTTGACCATAGAATTCAGCAGCATGAAGGCTTCCAGGCGTTTCACCACTGATGGTCAATTGGCTAAGAAGTGGAAGACGGGTCTGTTTGGTTTTGTGTGTCGGGAAGTTCTTGGGCTGCGATTGCAAGTTGCCAGGTTCTTCTGAGACCCGGTGACAAGGAGGCCGCAGGGCTGGCACGGCAGGCATTCGATAGACTGTGCGTTGTTTTGTTCGATCGGCTGCCTTTTCCCGAAAGCATCGCGAAGGGTTCTTCCGTGCGGAGCCCTTGGACAACTTGCACAGACCCACTTACACAGACCAAGATGCACAGAGCTATCCGCAGACCACCTGGCACAGAGTAAGTTGCACAGAACCACTCGCGCAGACTACAGTAACTTGCCCAGAGCCAGTTGCACAGAGGGAGTGGCACGGAGCCATTTGCACTTAGAGCAACTTGCGCAGAGCAGCTTGTCCAGAGCCGATTGCGCAGAGCGAACTTGCACAGAGCTACTTGCGCGGAGCCACCTGCGCAGAGCTACTTGCCCAGAGCAACTTGCACTGAGCCATCTGCGCAGAGAAACTTGCGCAGAGCAACTTGCACAGAGCCGGTGCGAACGGGCTGGGCTGCGTAAAGCGTCTGGGTCAAGAGCTTGGGCGTGAAAGGTTGGGCGCCTTGGGTCGGGTTCTTGGGCTCGGCGTTAGAAGCTATGTAGGCTAAGGTCAAGTTTCTATCGAGAGGATTAAATAAGCCTGCGCGAGAGAGGTTGGTAAGAGGATTCTTCCTGGGGATGGGGTTGTGGTCGTCGTGCGGGATTGCGACCCTCTGCGGGGATCGGCGTGGGCCAATATCAGAAAACCGAGGACTTTTTGCGATTTCCCCGATTCCTGCGCGACCCCCTGCGAGGTTCGGCGGGGTCGACGTTATAACTGAGAACTGTAGCGTTTCTGCCATCCGCAGAGCAAAGCTCGGCGGGGATGGGCGTGGTCGGTGTCAAAGAACTGCTGACTTTTTGCGACAACGCGGGGGATGTCAAAGAACTGCGGACCTTTTGCGATTCTGCGGCTGCAGTCCGCGGACCAACCGTCTGTGGGGATCGTGCCTGTTGAGTCGCTCTCGCAGCGGCCCCGTGCGAATCTTGTTTCTGGTGCTGCTTGCGAGCTGGTCCTTGGAAGTTGTCTCGTGCTTGAGTGAATGTTGGTGCAATCGCGCGTCGATCCCCGCTGGGCCCGGGAGAAGGTCGCAACGTTTCACACACAAACGCTAAAAAAGGTAACAAGCGCAGTGCATTTCCGCAGATCCAGCTGGAAAATTGGGACCTTTAAGAGCCGAAGTAGTGCGCGAACGCTCGCGGAGAGTGACGCGCAGACTTGCGCAGAGCAACTTGCGCGGAGCGCTCGCGCAAAGACACTTGCGATGAGACACCTTTGCACAGAGGCACTTTTGCGCAGAGACTTTTTTGTGCAGAGCCACTTGCGTTGGGGCCAACTTGCGTAGGACGTTCTTGCGCAGATAATTTTGCAGACATGCGCAGAGCAACTTGCGCAGAGGACTTGCGCAGAGCAACTTGCACAAGGCTTACGAAGATCAACTTGCGAAGAACATCTTGAACCGCTGATTTGCGCAGGGCAACTTGCATAAAGCAACCTGCGCAGAGCGCTCGAGAGATCGACGCGCGAAGTCGCAAAGAGCAGCTTGCGCGGCGCGCATGTGCAGGAAAGCGGCGCAACAACTTGCGCGAAGCACCACGCGAAGAGCGCACAAAGAGGGCCGCTCGAAACAAGATTTGCGTAGAGGAACTTGGGCGACGCTGCGCAGTCTACTTGCAAAGCTGCACTGGCGTAGAGCCAAGTCTTCCGATTCTTTGGCTCATTACGCGGAACGTTCTCATTTCACGGGGGTTTGACAACATTGCAGCGGGAGGGCGAAGGCTTGACCAAACGTGGCGGCAACATGCTTTCGGGCCAATCGTCCTGTAGCTTTTAAAGTTGTGGTTGGCCTCAGAACTGTTTCTTGCCAGGGTGTGTTCGTGGTTGACTGGATTTTTGGGAGGGAGCATTCTTGCGCCTTAACAGAAGCTTTGGCACGTATAGCTAGTTAGGGGAGTGCGGCAGCAGAGCTTTGGACTGGCAGGAGGCTCCTGAGGATTTTGATTCAAGGAGCCGAGTCGTGACACTGCATTTGCAGCCGGTTCATCTTGAAGCCCATGATGCTGCGCGGGTTCTGGTTGGATGTGGCGATCGTTTGGACGCAAGGAGACCGGAGCTTCGCAGAGCCAGGTGCTCAGCGTGAGCGGCAGAACTCGCAAGCTGAACATTCATTGATCTTTGAGCCTTCCGCTTTCTTGACACAGGACACACCCTGAGAGTGGGTGGTTTTTTGGCAATCCTTGTTTGTTTGATACCAACCTCAGCGAGTCCCCAGTCTTTGGACACCCTCAAAGTGTTGCAAATCCGACGAAAGCATTTGCACATGGCACCAGGCCCTCAAGTCTTCTTGCCTGGTTGGGTCAGTTTGCTACGCTTTGGCTGCGACATTGCGCTTTTGTTGCATGTGCGAGCCCTCATTGGCTCAGCTGGCAATCTCGGTGCCCACATCGAGCGCGAACCATGTCTGGTGTTGAGGCCATCAAGTACTTTGTGAAAGACGAAAAGCTTGGCCCGGAAAACAGCCGAAACGTGTACCTCAAGCTAAAAAATGACCTCACGGCCGAGCATCGCGATGAAGTTTCTACCCTCTTCGGCGGCGGATACGAGGGCACCACGAAGCTGGGGAGTTACACCATTGACCGCGACAAGGGCATCGTTACCGTGAAGTTCACGAAGAGCGAATATCGCACCAATCACTCTGATAAGTCGGACAAAGACCAGGACATCACTGAGGAGAAGGAGTATTCGCTCGAAGCCTTGGGCATCAGCTGAAACTGGGCAGGCAGGTCAAGTTTGGCAGGGCTTGACCACAATTGGTCTGAAGTCTATTCGTTAAAGCTCAGAAGCCGTGTATACACGCACTGGTCCGCTGTACGCGAGCAGTTGTCAGCAGGCTGTGAAGCGCAAGATGCAAATGACGTCAAACGGCGTGCAAACAAGAAATATGCTCGGTGCCTGGCTAAGTGTTGAATATAGTTTGAGGAGCTTTCCAGCTGGGTCAAGTCCTTTTGAGGGCCGCACGCACGGGAGGATTCCAGGAGAAGAACTTTCTGGTGCTACTCTTCTGAGCGTAGAAGGGTGCCACAAGCTGGTGTCCCGGTTGTTGGGGCCAGTGACCAGCTCCATTGGCAGCCTTTCTTGTATCACTTACATGAGGGGCTCACGAACTTATATTGGTTGACAAGCCCGCGTACAGTACCTGCAAAGCCTGAAAATCAATGGTGCTAAAGTTGTGGTCCCATCACTTGCTTCGAAAGCCCCGGGGCGCTGAGGTCAGACTCATGGCCAGCAGATTTGGCGAGAGACATGCCATCCAGGAGGTGCGACGGAGCCGCGACTCGATACACGAGACCGGCCTCACAGGTCTCCTTTCGGCTTTGTCGGAAGGCAGGCCCTCGAAGCGTTGCGCTCGTTTCTTTGGAGGTCAGGCGAACAGATTCTTAGCTGGCATATTCCCGTGTCTCCTAGGACAAGACACCACTTGTAGCCATTTGTAATTTCATGTGTGATCTCGGGCATTGCTCTTCGCTCGCCTGCTGAGGTACAGAGCGGTGACACTGAGGGCTGGCTTCAGGCAGGGCATTGTCTTCCTTTTCAACATAGAGACATGGGGTTCGTGGTTGTATTTGGCGAACCCAACCCGCAAACAGGCTACCCTTAACCAACAGCATGCCCGTATTTATCTTGGGTTGTCAACCCCTCCTGTTCCACTGCTTTTGGTGGTTCTTCCTGAACAAATAAAGACAGGTCACCATTCCACCTCTGCACTTCCGTTTCCCCAGACTGTTCAGATTGAAGGCCGGGAGAATGGTCAGTTCCTCATCGATCGATTGGAACAAGATGGCCTCTCCCAAGTCAAGAGAGTTTTTGCGCAGTCCGTATTTTTCGGTGCGACCGCCTTGATTTGGGGGCCCCCTTTGCGTCGGCCAAGGCACACATTCAGCTTCCCAGTGGCATCTCCCGGAGCCAGCTGGGGGTCTTTGTCTCCGAGGCCGGGCGTGAGGCAGCAATGTGGCTGCGCATTTTAACAGAGAACCACCTCAGAAGTGCCCTACCTAAATGCTGTCCAGCAACAAGTCCCAACTTCCCCGATGAAACTTCATCCGATTCGGCGATGGTCTGAGGAAGCCAGCATGCATTTTGTGACACATGCGCGGCAGAAATCCGCGGCTCTCGCTGGTTGTCGTGCTTACGCAGTGCAAAGTGTGTACCCTGCAACCTCCTCGGAGTTCTCGCATTTCATGTCAAAATTTCTGCCTGTCTGGAATGCTACAATTGAGTTGCGCAGGGTCTTTCACCTCGTCTGTCATCCGAAGTCTTCTTGAAGCTTGTTGGGAGGGGACCGCTGCCTCCCAAGCCTGGGACTGCGAAACATGTGACGCTTTTGATCAGTGGGCCAGAACCGTGCAAGCCTCGACGTGGAACTTTGCTTCCAGACGGAGGTTGCCAAGATGCTTTGCCTTGGGTGTGAGCCAGCATAAAATGTCGCAACATGTCCCAATTTGATTCCAGATCTAGTGCTGCTACTCAATTGGAGGTGCGATGTTGCCTTTTTATTCTCAAGGCAGTCTCGCTCAACAGTTGTTTTACATAATGTTCATAGGGGATCATGCCTGTTTCTCGTCTTTGTGCATCAGAGCCCACGTTGCCACTGGCCCAAGTCGGATAGGCGGTTTTTGGGTGTCAGTGCGTGCGTTTGTGAACCTTGGTCAGCCAGGAGAGGGCCCAACTTCAGGTGGCTGTTCAAGATGGAGGCGTGAGAGCTCAGATCTTTTTCCAGGCCACATGTATCCACATGTCCTTCATTTCGAGGTGCTGCTTTTGGTTGTGCATGCTTTGTGCGTTGGGCGTGACTGTGAATGCAGTGATTTGGTCCAGTGCGCAGATCCTAGGGAGAAAAGCAAGTTTCCTTACATTTCCTCAAGAAGACTTCCTTCAAGGGTGTGATTCTTTGCCGCTACACAGCTCGATTGGTTACAGTTGACATGGGCAAGTTGAAGATCCATTTTAGCCCATGGCATACGCTCACAAGACGCATGGAAACGACTCAACTTGCTTGTCCAGTCTTGCCAGAAGGTGTAAATGTGCGTGTGTGTGTACACAAAGCGATCGCGGCAAATACTGAACGAGGTGTTGAGCCAAGCCAAACTGCTTGAGCAGACCATCCCATCAGCAAGAACATTACGTGGGCAACTATCATGAAACTACTATGCTTCTCATGTTTTTGTTGTAATTGTATATCCACTGCTTGCAAGGCCACTTCGTGATCCCGAAGTGTAATTGATTGAGTCTTCTGCACTTGCGGATTGTCGTTGCCCTGTTTGCATATGGAACCTGGCTTCAAGTTGGTGATAACTTATCTGAAGGGGCTGGACATTGCTTCCACTCCCTTGCTCTGAATCATCTCCAGAGACCTGTGCCACAGGCGACGTCGTCTCCTCCATGTTTGAGCTTGCAGAACATCTGCCAGAGGAGCCGGAGGGCAAAAAGGGCAACATTGGTCGGACAATTTCTGGGGTGCTAGATACACAAGCAAAGCTTCTGACCGGGCCCATTGGGCGTAGCCAGCATGTTCATGGCCTCATGGTACTGTTATTGGTATTGCTGATGCTGTGTGTTTGCATCTGCGCTAGGAAGGAACGCATAAGAATATGAATTGGGGTTAGTTGATGGAATTGGGAGACACGGGGTTTCAAGGCGAAATAGCCGCGGTCAAAGGTCAAGTTTGCACGTTGTATCACTTTAAAGATGCTAGGTGGGTATGGGAACTCAGAAGCACTGTATCCGGAATCAACATTTCCTGGTAAACGAGAAGAAACAGAGGCAGGTGACCATTGTCCCTGGCACCTACGCAAAATGGGTCTTGCAAGCCGCGAGGCAGCTCGGCTGGAGCTCAGCTCGCCAGCGCGGCTGTCCAGCAGCAGCTTGAGGCTGAAACGGCCGGTGGGTCGGGGGTACAGGTGGGAGCGGGTTAAGTTTGCAACTGAGCAGGGAGACTTGTGAATGGTCAAAACGAATCTGTGCAAGACGCGGTGTCCGTTCCGTTGCCACACGCGCGTGAGTTGGGGGTTGGATGGTTCCCGATGATTGGATTCCTTCTGTGTTTTCTATGAAGATCCAAGAGGGGGCTCCCCTAATTGGCACACAGGTCCGACGTGCAAGAATCTCGAGCTTGGCACGAGGCTTGAGCTTGTCTGGAAGACCTGAGCCACCGCGGCAGACCTGAAAGAGGCATGAGGCCTGTGGGATTGGCCCACGTGCCATCGGATATGCAACATATGTGCAAGAAATAGTTCACAGTGGACCATTCCAAAGCGCGAGGTAAGAAGTTGACAAGCGGCGTGAAACGCCTCAGCGTAACAGAAAGCCTTGCAACCGTGGGCAAGAAAATATCTTGCTGACGGTTCAGTGATTTCGCGAGGCATCTTTATTGAGGCTGCAAGTGAACTTTTTCAGCTTCGGCAGTGCTGATTTGCTGCGTATTCTCAAGAGGCGTCATGCCTGAGTGTTCTAACAGGCGCAAGGCGGCAGGGCAATGGGGGCTTGGTTTTGTTCACTGCACATTCAAGACAAGTGCAAGAAGGGCTGAACTAAATCTATTCAAGCGGCTCATGCAAAGATTCAAATGAACTAAATCTCCCTTGAGATCCCCTAGCGCCTCGTGCACTTCTTATTCCAGTTCCACAGCTTGCTTGCAGCGGTCGATTGCAAGCGCTGGTAATTCGCATTGAGTTGGGCGAGAGCGGTTTGGCATCCTCGAGGCAAGCCTGAGTGGGGTGATTGACCGGGCCTTGCCCAAGCGTCAGCAGACGTTCCAAACAGAGACTCTTGGGTCCCTGTGCGGAGTTCTCTCCGAAGGGTGGATTTGGTGCTTGGAACTCCTTCAGCCCGAAGTGAGCCAGTTTTGTAAGGCAGACGCTTGGGGGCTTTGGGAAAGAGGCGCTGCGAGCTGTGAGCGTATCTGGCAGTTGGACTTCACGCTCGAAGCTGCTCACTTCTAAATCAAAGCCTTTTCTTGTGACAATCCACGTTCATTCTGGCACGTCTTGGCGCATGTCCAAGCTCAGTACCAGGCAGGACCACGACCAGCGTGCTGACCGTGCAGATTGCTGTGCTTATTGGTTATCTCCCTCAACCCTCACCGCCGCCGCGATGCACGTACATGTGCGCAAAGATAAACAAAGCAGCCAAGACAGAAGACCAGAGATTTGGCGCCTCTGGCTTACAGTGGCCCTTTCTGCTTGCCACCTGGGCAAGCGCGGGCTGCGGTCCATGGCATGGGTATCTTGGGGAACTTCTTGGAGGAAGAAGAGCTGCGGAAGCCGCCGCCGGTGACCTATGGCCTCGAGCCGCGCCCTGGACGCAATTTGGAGATCACTTGTTTGCGGGTGTCCAAAGGTATGACCTGGATAGACGAGTGAAAATCAGCAACTTTCTTTGTATTCCCTTAGAACAATCGAACATGAGTCCCAGCATTGTCGCTTTGCCTGCGTGATGGAGGCGCATCTCAAAGCTTTATGTTGCTCACTTTCTCACAGACATGATCCGGATCACCCTTGGGTTCCGCTCTGTTGTGTTAGCTTTTGTTTGGTTTGGGGTGTCAGGAATCTTCGGAATCCTTGAGACAGATCTCCCAGCTCTGAGACACGGGACTCGGCCAGGTTCACCTTTGATCCGGGCCCACAACCCTCACAGGCCAGGATCGTTTGGGCTGGATACCTTGGGCACCAGAAGCGAAGAGATCAGAGCTTGCAATGAGTGCGAGAATGTGGCCAGGGGGGGGGGGGGGGATGGGGGCGGGGCGCCTCAGCACCCGAAAGGTTAAACCGAACTACGGTTTAACAGAGTGGCATGGCAGTGCTTGCCTTGGACCTTCGGGTCACATCCAGAACAAGAACTCTTTAATTCTCGCTGGCGTGGAATCCCACACCGACAGCCAGGTTTTGCTTGCACTCGTCAGATTCTCGCGATAAAACCAGTTGTGGGTTCCATTGGAAGGAAACCATGCCCCTGGTCAAGCCTCCTAATGTCTGCAGGAGTTTTGACTGGGGCGCAGATAAATCTATTGCTGCGGGTCGAATTGTGAGCATGGCACCAGATGCCATGTCGTCAATGTGAGAATCCCCTTTGGATGGCTTTAATGGGACACCAAAGGGGTTTATACTTTTATGCCATGCCCAGAATATTGTGAAGGTTGAGGATGTTTGAAGGAAACACCTTCAATGTCAATCTGCAGACATCCCCAACGGCTTGGAGACCTGATCCACTCCAAGTTCCAAACAGAGACACTAACTGAAAAAGAAAAGCCTTTGGACTGTGAAAAGCCTTTGGGAAGACATGCCCGATCGGCTTCGCGGGGCCAGGAGGAGTTGGCGCGGGAGGCAGAGCGGCGGGTGCGCTCGGACAAGCGCTTCCGGGAGGCGGGGAATTGTCGGCTGGGGTGAGAAATGCGAAGCTTTTGGCTGGCTCAGGCAAGGTTTTGGAAGTTTTTGGATTCTCAATGGCCTTCGTGGTCCCTTTGGTTCGGGGTCGACTGCGTTCATACCGGGCATCTTATCTTGAGCGGAGGGCACTCAAGGGCTCTGTAGAGATCTCCGAGATGGCAGATGTCGAGATGTCAACCTTGTTTTGCCATTGGACGATGCGTCGCTTATTGCTTTCGTCATATCTACCAGTCATGTTCCAGACAGTGTGCTATGTTTCTGTAACCTTTAACCACGTCCAGTTCTCGCTCCTCTTTTCTTGGGCATCTAGGTGTGCCAATTTCCAGGCGCTGCGCGGTCAGAAGGCTGCCATCACCGCTTTGCTACAGGGATGCCTCGAGAAGGCGCCCTTCCATGGCCTGTGACATGACGGGTGGTTGGTCTCCTCTCCACAACTCTCAAATCTAAGGGACATAGACGGACAGTTGTAGCAAGCTTGATTACTGCGGCTTGCACATTGAAAGGTGCACTGGAATGCTTGCATTGATCCTTGCAAGCTTGCAGCCCGCAGCTCTTCAAGAATTTGCCCAAAGAGGTGGGCATGCAAAAATGCTGTGTTCTCTTGGTTGGGCGGCAAGACTGCAACAACCACTGTGGGTTGGTTGATTGAAATGGGCATTGCTTCACGAGGATGGCTTGTCCCCTGCTTGGCCGTGCAGGTGAATGGACAGCTTGAAAGGGGCGAAGAGATTTGCCAGAAGGCTGGGGCGTGAGGGCAGAGGGTCTTGGCTGTGCGCCCCACTTGATCCTCTCTGGTGACAGCTTTCAGAACCCATGCCCCTGGACCTCTTTTGCCTGGGCGAATCGAGGCTTGCCCCCAGCATTGAGACAAAGGGATAGAGCCAGCTTGTGTTGCGGTCCGAAAAGAAGAAAAGCGGAGAGAAATATTGGGGCAGTGGCTTTTTTCAAAGTTTGTTCCCCTTTTCTCCTTTGCTCCCTTGGGGCCAAAGAACACAGCGGCGGAGGCGCACTTCCCGCTGCTCAACCCCCGAAGCTTCGCAGACCTGGGGGCCTTCGCCGGACACGACCACTTCACGGTGGACCTGCGCGTGGACCAGGCGAGATGAGTTGCAAATTTGGACGTGTGGAAACAATCCGTATGTCCGTATGTCCGTATGTCCGTATGTCCGTATGTCCGTATGTCCGTATGTCCGTATGTCCGTATGTCCGTATGTCCGTATCGGTGCAAAGCGGTGTGGCCCACCATCGGGAGTGGTCAAAACCGATCGTTGCTGAAAGAAGGCCATGAGTCCCCGAAGGCAACAGCTTGGCACCAGCTCAGAGCAAGAAGTCGAAGCAAGTTTGCTGTGGAGATCTGTGTCAGTCAGAGATTGCGGGTGAGCTGTTTGGTTTTGGAAAGAGGGCTGTTCTTCTGACTTGTGCAACTCAGGAAGGGCCAAATGAAGAGATTCCAGATGGTCAATTTGGCAGGGACATGGCAGACCCTCGAAACGTTTGGCCAAAACAAAGGGCTATGTACGGCTTACTTGGTACCTATTCGCCTGACCCGAGTTTCTCGTGGACTCCCCTCAGATTTGCCCAAAGAAACCCGCCTAGCCTGAGTTGTAACGGGCGACTCGGGGAAGAGATCCCAGAGACTGCCAGGTGGATGAAGCCCTGCAGAAGCTGGTGAATAGCCTCTTTGGAATCGCTGCGAGCTTAGCGAGGAAACCACACATTGGCAGAGGCAGCCAAGCGTGCGTTTGCGGGCCCCATAGAGACGGTTGGATTCGTTTTGGTTTCCCTTCAACCACCATCCAAAAAGGAGCCCAAGTTGACATCCCAAACCAATTTCTTTGCTCCAAAGCACTGCATGGTCCGTCGGAAGGATTAGTTATCGCCAAATCTCCGGCAGGAGTTGCTTACCTCGCTTTCATTTGTAGTTCTTGCATTTCCTGGGGCTGTTTGGCCTGTTTGCAGTAGAGAACAAGCCCCTCATCCCCACAACCCAGTTCTGACAAGGATGTTTGGATTTTTTTAATAACTCCCATTAACGTGGCCGAGAAATAATAATTCATGCTAAGCTGAGGTGTGGACGACCGTCAGCGTCGCCTCATGGCGGGTGGTCAGGGCTGGGCTGTTCGAAGGTGGCATTGTAGCTAAAGGTGGCGTCAGAGGCAGCCACGCCCTCAAGTGAGAAACTCGCTGCTTTTCGACAAACCGTGAATTCAAGGATTTTCCAACTTGCAGCCGGCAAATTGCCCCATGCTTCATGTCAATGTAGTGGGCTGGCAAAACAATAGGGCCCTTGAGCCTCAAGATAAGGACACCAGGCAGATGCACTGCACTAGAGGGACAAAGTACATTGACATGGCACGGCACCATGTCAGTCTTTCGACGGCCTTTCCAAAGCTATCCATGTACAGCAGCACCAGAAACGACCGGCAGTTCATTAAATTGCGTGCGTGAGTGGGGTGAGTGGGGTGAGTGGGGTGGGTGGGTGAATTTGGTCGGAGGGCGGGGGCCGGTCACAGTCCTTTTGTTTATTCCGCAAATTGGATGTTGGGCAGGGAAACCTCTGTTGCAAATTGTGTTTGTGACAGAAATTACTGGGTCAACCGAGCTGAGGAGAATGAGACGAGGGCCAAGAGCCTGGACCGTTTCAACAAGGTCTCCTGCCATATGGAGGGGCGGGGGCCAGCGGAAAGGTTGGCCATCCATCCAGTGCAGAACGCGGCATTCATTGGATGTTGAGGGTTCCTCGGTGTCCGACTCAGACGGCTATGTTGATGCCAGGAGCCACAAGCCTTTAAAGGAATCCCAGGATTCAGGTCATGGGGATACTCATGAGTATGGAAAGCCGAAGTATCGACACAGGGAATCAGCCTGCATGCAGACACAATCTCACTGCAAGCAAACATGATCTAAACCATCTATTTAGTGGCAGCTTGACTTGGGTTCCTCAAAGAAAGGCCGATGCTTCAAGTAGAAGACGGCCCACCTCTCGCAGTTGCCCTGCCTGTAATTGCCCCGCTTGAAGCAACAGACACATTCCGGAAATGCTGAACGTCACGTTTAACAGTTGATGGATGCAGAGGATCCCCCGGTTCTACCCGTGGGATGTTTTAGCAAGACTTGAGGCGCTGCAAGAGCGCATGGAGACCTTGGAGCACCATCTGCAAGACCGGTCCCGGCAGCTTTCCAACTGCAGGCCGCGGTGCCTACGCCTTTTGCGTCAAAACAAAACAGACCCGTCTTGGGATCGGTTTTGAAAGGGAAACGTGGGCCGGTATGTTGGGAGGGAATTTCATCTCTCGTTGAACGGCTCTGATCTTTGGAGGCGCGTGACCCATCTTTTTGAGGTTCGGGCTCGGCATACGTTCCAAGACAGGTGGGGGGCGGGGGGGGTTGGTGTTAAAACGGAGCCAAACAGAAGCAGTAAGGTGACCCAGGATCAACGAACTCCTGATTTTGGCTTTTTGAGAGGGGGACTTTCACTTTTGGGGAAACACCCCCTACATAGTTATCCATCAGGTTGATTCATTTGGGGTCGAGGTTATAGGAAGCACGGAAACACCCAGATGTAGGGGGAGAGTGCTCGACTTTTCGGCCATCCTTGAGGTACGCATACTTCCTGGAAATCACACATTTGCGCAGCTCGGCCTGCGTTTGCGCCCGTCGGCAGCCGTGTCTTTGACTAGGTGCAACGTTGCCACAAGCCAGCCAGGAATATCAAGCCGGATTAATACGTTTGCTGCCACCTTTTTGGAGTTTTCTTTGTAGAGTATAATGCCAAGGCTACCGGCCCCTAGGATGGAATGCCAACCATTTTGTTCCTTTTGATGCATCCAGTTCACCAGAGGCATGCCACAGGCGACGAGAACTAGCAGACAAAACCATCATTTGGCTATTGATCGAGATGCTTTACAGGGGCATCTAGCGGCATCTATGAAATGAATGGCTCGGCAATGCCATTTGAAAATTTGTGCCGAGGGAACCAGCTCTACATGAGCCAGTCGGATGAGGACTTCGAGCCGGTTGAGGCATACTTCTTCGATCCCACGGAGTATTTGGAGGAGGAGCTGGGCCGCTCTTTGGGCCAAGTTCACGGAGTGGTGTCCAATTAAGTGCAAAGTCGTCGCTGTAGCCAACTCGCCTTGTCTAGTCTGGTTTCGACGGGTACGCAACACCTTTGCATTTGAACACCACTTGTTTCACATCTCATCCAGAATAAATAGGAAAACCATGGGCAGAGGGCTTCTTGCCGCACTTGACACTGTGAGAGCTTTTGTCATGGTCACTCATGACAGGATACATTCGAAGGGCTATCTTAGGTTCAACGCCCAGAAACTAGTTCTAAAGGAAGCTACCCCGCCCACCCCCCCGTCCCATTTCCACAGCCCTGGGCTATGTTTCTGCCAGGAGCTCCGTCAGCAGTTAAATGACAAGATCACGCTGAGCGTTTCTCAGCTTCATGGAGGACGGTTTCCTATACTCGCCGTTTGACACGGACCAATCTGTCGTAAATCCAGTTGCTGACATCGGCAATGAAATTGATGAATTGTAAATGTGAAAACCCCTGGCCATGCGCGTACTGTATAAGTCATGGGCCATGTAATAGTGCCAAATTGGCAAGTGTCGTCCCCAGAGATACTTCTCTGGGGGAATCTTGCCCTCCAAAGCGTGCCTTTTTGCGCTGGTCCGCTTTAACTAGTCCCCAAAGGTTCATTTTGGTGTGTGGAGCTCTGGAAGTCTGGCTGGCAGAGGAATAAAGAACAATGGCTCTTGGACTGGGCCTATTGAACCTAGTGTCATGTTTCTAGGGCTTGCCAAGTCCAAAGCTGACTGGTACAAACCTACATTGAGGGGTGACTTTGACAATGATAAATAGAACGGGTAAAACTAAAGGGTTAGTTTCATGAACCTTTGCCTTTGGTCCCAAAAAGGGTCCAACTGGTTTCGCTTTGTCACCCCGAGAAAGGTCTTAGATGGATCATCTCTGAAGCGGGTTGCGGAAAGGTGAACCCTTTAGACATTACAGCATCACCCCGCATAAGATGCTTATCACTTGTCTCCGCTCGTTTCCTCTAGTCCTCGTTAACTGTCAAGGGAGAGAAACAGTTAGCCGTGTCTCATCTCTTTCTCGTCTTTACCTTACTTTCTCGGATCGACATTTACATCTGTTGGGTAGAGAGGAATCGATCCAGGATAGAAAGACGAGACACAGGGATCTGATATCAGCTATCTTGTTCCTACCAAGTAGAATCTCCATCAGAAACCACAGATGTATTTAATGTATTTTAAAGTTGGATGACGACGCGTCTTTGTTCGGAGAGTCATAGAGACGAAGAAATCTCTGAAAGTATTATTTAAGATTCGTCCATTGCTTGTCTTCTTCTCTCTACTCCCTCTCGACGCTTCACTCGCGAGCGGAGAAGAAGTGGACAGCGGGAGAGAGATAGCCTCCTTTTGCCCGAGAAGAGATGGGGCAGCGGGAAATCACCTCTTGACGAGCCGGAGCGAAGAGATGTCGAAGGGCAGGAAAAGGTGAGGGGCATAGTTTACTTCTTCCTTTCTTCACAGATGAATCCTCTAAGCCATGCACAGATTGAACATAAATAATAAAGAGCTGGCTCGGCCCCATCCAGCAGGATATGATAGAGAGGCGGGGCCAGGGAAAGAACAACATAATTCCAGATCTTAGAGTCTCGGTTTTCCACTCCACATTTACCATTCTTTTCTCCATAACTTTGCCAGGATTGTCAAGATAGGAACAGAAGATAGTTAATTCTAATAGACAATAATGTATGAAAAGGGTCCATCAGATGTTCAACGCTCTAACAGGGGTCCAATAGTCAATAGTCTGCGTCGGTTGCCCTGTGATTGTCTTTATGTCAACTTGCAGCGCTTTGCCCCTAAATGAGTTTCAAGAAACGGATTCCAGCTTGCACTAAAGGGCAATCATGTGTTTAGCATACTAGAGCCTATTTGTCAGAACGCATTTCGGCTCACCCAAGGGTTCGGAGGTTGCTTCTTGTTTCGTCCGATGTTGATTCCAAGCAGTCCATTCACAATCGACTCCACCCCTGCCATTGGCACAAGGCCTGGTCCCTGGTCGCACTTGCACAGAACAAGGGGCATTTCCCTCGCTTGTGCTCTATCATGGGTATTCGCTTTTGCATCGATGCATACAAACACCGATACATCGCCATCCATTCCAAGCCACCACGCCACCACTTCAACAAAGGAAGCTCTGGTCAACCAAAAAGGAAAACGACAGAAAATGGCACAAGAATCACATATCAATGATATCAACATCGCATCTTCAAATGACACATCGAGACATCGAGGTGAAGGTCTACAAGGACCGACTGACGGAGATGGCCCGAAAGCTCGCGGACTTGGAGCTCCAGCTGGAGACGGCCAAGGCCGCCTGGTTTTCGGCCGGGGGGGGGAGGGAGGGCACCATCGTAGGGCAACAGGAAAATGGATGACCCAAGGGATGGATCGCCCTGGTGGTTTTTCAACAAAAAGGCGAAAGACAGAGCAAGTTTTTATCTTGACTTCGTTTCATTGTCACGCATGATTGGTTCGATGCTTTTTTTTGGTCAGATATGTCCAAGGTAAAAGGGGGTCGTTCAACTTCAGCCCTCTCTTCTCAGGATGTTGCGTAGAGTGCTGTTTGCCTGGCTAGAGAGTTTGACTGCGAGTGGCGCAGCGTGCTGTTGCAGGGTGTTGTTGCAGGCCGCTCTTGCAAGGGGCCGTCGCTCGGTGTTTTGGGATTGTGTCATTTTGGCAGCATATCTTTAGGTCAGATATTGCGTGTCTATATATAATAATAACATATGAATATATATATATATATA